ATGCATTTCAGTATAGAATTGTGGTGTAGCAGAAAGAAAGCAGAATTACAATGGACAGTGAAGTTGTTAGACTTTTGTGCTAGATCTATCACTTTCATCCAGTACTCTGTGAGAAACAGACACATCCATAAAATGTATAAAATGATCCTTTCAGTTTTCACACAACCTCAGCTTACTGAGGGTATTGATGAAGAGATACTATGGAGAAGCTTAGGAAATCTATAGCACCTTGACATTAATTTATAATTGGTTTCTTGGTCATTCATGTTACAGAATGTAGAATGCTCAAAATGATTGATTCATTCCTTCTGTTTTGGGGAAAGGTTAAAGTGTCAATCTTCTGCTTATTTTTGTAAGGATTGCATTGGTATTGTAAAGTTTTCCTTTAAAAGCAGAGCTTTTAATATAGATAATGTGTGCTTGATAGGGCCTTTTTCAGAGCATAAGGCTTCAAATGGAATCATGTGGACAGGAAATGGTGGAATAGGAGAAGTTTCAAAAAAACCTTAAAGGTTAGTAGAGAGGATCTCACTGCGCATCTGATAACAAGAGCCATGTAGCTTGATTTCCAAAGTATATTATCTTGGATTTTCCTGCTCAAAGCAGTATCTGGAAGCCAGGGTCGGTTGTCCCCTGGTGGAAAGGAGGAGTTTTCAACTACTGGATATAATGGAGATAAATCCAGTGATCTCTGTGGAAGGTTTGCAAACGTTGTAAATTGTGCTAGAGTTGGACCCATCTTAGGATGAGAGCAAAGTGTCACATAAGTTGATTTAGACACCACAAGAAACTGTGTAAAGAGACATGAGCGTTAATCTGTATCCACTGTTTCCTGTCACCATGAGAGCACCAGTCAAATATTCTCCCTAAATGTTTTGCCAAGTAATAAAGACCTACAGTATGTCTGGGGAACAGGGGCCTCCAGATCTCTTAGGTTTTCTCAGGATGTTAATTTAATTTTTTCAGGTTTGTTCCCCCAAACAGAATTATGGAAGAGGGCATGAATGTGGTAGATAAAGGCTTTATGGACTTGTATAGGCAAGCCTTGCAGCAAGTATATGATTAGGCAAGCATGTTCACTTTTATTAGATTGCATCTGCCAAGTACGGAAAAGGTACCTGTCGTCAACTGATTTAAAATGAAACATTTTTTTTTTGTAGCACTGGGAAGAAGTTCAGAGAATACATTTCTGAGAGATCATTTGAAATGAAGGTGCCAAGATATTGGAAAGAGGTGGTTGACCAAGGGGGCAAGAAGCTGTTTTTTAAATGCGTCAAGCTTGCTTTGGTAAGGTTAGGGTAAAGGTCTCAGACTTCTGTAGGTTGACCTTGAAATTAGATGTTGTCCCATAAAATTGTATTTCCTGCATCAAACTTGGTAAGGAGACAATTGGGTTTGTAATAATAAAGAGAAGGTCATCAAACTGCATGAGTCATGCTTGAAATGTTAGGGTAAGTTATTCACCATGAATCTACATTTTCTTGTTTTCTCTAGTGTTGGTTTACCCTATTAAGTGCCTCTCATCATGGATGTTTTGTCCTCTTTTTTTATTTATCTTTTTGGCTTACTCCTTTGTTTGTGTTTTATAGGGTGGTTCATTTTGCTTATAACGTGTCTTGTTTCGACATCTGTATTTTGGATTTTCTTTGTTTATCTGACACACTTTTGTTTTGAGTATTTCATCCAGTATTTCTCCTTGCATGGTGGGGTCTTAGTTGCTCCAATTGGTGCTGAGTTCCATGCCTGTTAGCAAAACACGTAATTTATTTTTCTTTCATATTTATGGCTACTGCCACGTATTTTGCTCAGTCAAACCCACTGTGCTGTTCCTCTGTGTGCCTCAGGTGGGTGGCCCTGTGCCCCTTCCATAGCTTCCAAGCAAGGCCTTGCTGATGGGGTTATTCCTGCTGTGCGTCCTGCACAGCCAGCAGTATCCATGTCATATTTATTGATCCTAATGTATATGTAAGTATGCCTCTATATCAGGGATAGGCAACCTTAAAGAGGTGGAGATCTACCTGAACAACATGGGAGAAGTCAAAGATCGTCGGGCACAGTTTCTCCTCCTCACATCCAGTCTAAACCTTGAATTGCTGTACTAACGTGTCGTAATCGCAATCATTGCACTGCAATCATAGCTTTAAATTAGCAGGTAAGGAGGCAAAATATCACCTCCTCATCACCTGTCAAACACACTCTGATCACTTTTAAGAGGAGTGCAGGATATAATAGAAGTCTATGGCTAAGTGCAACAAACCCATAGGAAAGCTGCGGGTACACTGCACTGCACCCACGGTGTGGGTAAACCGCAGCGCATCAGTGTGAAAGCAGCCTTATAGTATTATGCCCAGTGTATTGCTTCACACTGACCTGAAGATCTCTTCTTTCCTGCTGTTGGCATTACTCTGGAGACTGCAAGCTGGGATAAGAGGTGGAGTGCAGTTAGTATCACTCCACATGGGAAGGAAGCCAACACTAAAGAGGAGGCATCTGCTTATGCGGCTCCTACTCTCTACTACAGCTCCAACTTTACAAGTAGTCCCTCTTCATTGCACTCTGTTTGATGCTCTGGTATGGTGGGTCAGCAAGCCCAGACCGTGATCTGCCAGTCAGCTGACCACGATCTACTGGTAGACCACGATCTACAGGTTGCTGACCCCCTTCATCCATTATAGGGATTAGCCTGAGTGTATACATTTTTTCGTATGTATAAGACTTCGGCTGGACAGCAGGAAGCGCTGAAGCACTGTGATATGGAGCCTGGAAGGGAAAGCCTAGCAATATTCTCTGCACTCCGGAGCAGTGGCGATAGTGTGTGACATTTATGAGCATGTGCAGGATCGGAGGACCGGCGTGCTCCTTTCTCAAGCTCTATGCTTGACAAAGGAGGCACTGGTCCTCCAATCCTGCACATGCTCAGAAACACGTTGCATGCTTATGACATTATATGCCATTGCCACTGCTCCGGAGTGCAGAGAAAATTGCCAGGCTTTCCATTCCAAGCTCCATCTCGCAGTGCTTCAACGCTCCCTGCTGTCCAGCCGAAGTCCTAACAGACTTTCCAGGCTCACACCACAGGCTCCTCTGACATCTCTCCTGCACTCCCTGCTGTCCAGCACTCTTGTTCTCTGATCCAGATCATCACGTGGTGTTGTGCATCGTTAACTCCTTATGAGCCTTCTCTTTACCATCTACATGTGAGTGGTTTTAATCATGTTCACCATGAAATACTTTTAACAATCTACACTCAGGGGTGCTGTTTTTCTCTTTGAATGACACCATTATACCTGTAGATTTTCTTGAATGGTAAGAGCTACAGAGTTTAACAGTTTGCATAGTCATGATAGAACAGTAAACCATCTAATCATAAAGAGAGGCCATATTATACATTATTTGAATCAACAACATTTGAACAAAGCCTGTAGTATCGTAGTATGACTTTATTTTGCCCTTGCGCATCTGCCCTCTCTATAAGAAGTAAATTATGGAAGAGAAATGTGAGTAGAGTGACGGGGGGGGATAATCCAATTGATCCATGATTGAATTTACTCTGTGTCTTCCTGAGAGTTATCATTGAAAATATTTATGATGACAACAAGAACTTTAATAGCCCTTTTATATGCATAAGACATTGACTGGCAAGCTGTCCACTGAATGAAGTAGTCTCTTCTTCTGCCATAAGAAGTACCTGCTGCTAAATTTTTTAAGTTACTCATCACTGTTCCGGACAGCTTAGGTGTTGAAGATCATTTGTTTGCTTTATGTGTATGCTGCAGAATCTTGAGTCTTTGTAGGGAAGTGGAAGCAGTCTCGACATTGGGGTGATCAGAGATTCTGCCACTCATCCAGTTGGGAATAATGAAGGGATCTATCTCAAGGAAAGAAAACATGTTTTTGCACTTGTGTTGGTGAGTGTAGTGAGAATACTGTCTCCCCTTTCCTGTTCAAAAAATGGAATGGATGACACCATTTATACAATATGCTGTCCCTCTGGAGGTATTCTAGCAGTGGGCACACAATCCTCCATTTCTGTAGACTTCTACAGGCTAGATCCAGGAGGACCTGGATGCTAGCCTCATCAAAGTCAAAATAATCTTTCAGCCAAGCTTGTGTCATTTTTAGTTCCTGAATGAAAAAAAAGTGTAAGAGGAAGAGTAAATTCTTGGGCCTGGTGACAAATGGAAGTCTCCCTCTTACTGCTTGGTGTACCCTGTCTAGTTTGGTACAGTCATTTGGCCTTTTCCCAGTAAGTAAGGATGGTAGTGAAGGTAGTTTTCAGATCCACTCCTATGGTGGCCTCAGGGAATCCCCGATCTACAAATTGTTGCGGCAGTATCTGTTTTCCCAATTTTCTATTAGCAATAATGCCTGTTGTAGTTTATGTAGTTGTGTAGTCTGAACCCTTTCTGAAGCCTGTATCTGGAATTCTAGATACCAAAGTCTCCATCCTTTAATTCAACTATCTTACGTCCTGGTGGATCTCTACGAATTCCTTTTGTACAAAGCCCCCAATCTGGGATGCAAGCCCAGAGGCAGAAGCTGTTGTGGATGGAGCAGTCTGCTATGTTGGCTCTGATGGTGTGGAGGTGCAGAGAGAGTTTACATAGTTACATAGTTAGTCTGGCTGAAAAAAAAAAAAAAAGTCCATCCAGTTCAACCATTAAAAAAAAAAAAGTTATAATCCTATACCCACAGTTGATCCAGAAGGAAGGACAACTACGCTGAAGTGGGAGCGGGGTACCTGTCAAATTTAGGTACCCGCTCCCCCACCTTCCCCAAAGGTACGCAGTCTCTGGTAATCTCCTTTACTGTCTGCAGTCTCTGGTTATCTCCTGCACTGTCTGCAGTCTCTAGTCTTCTGTACTATGTCCACAGTCTCTGGTCATCACCTGTACTATGTCCGCAGTCTCTGGTCATTCCTTATACTATGTCCGCAGTCTCTGGTCATCTCCTGTACTATGTCCGCAGTCTCTGGTCATCTCCTGTACTATGTCCGCAGTCTCTGGTCATCTCCTGTACTATGTCCGCAGTCTCTGGTCATCTCCTGTACTATGTCCACAGTCTCTGGTCATCACCTGTACTATGTCCGCAGTCTCTGGTCATTCTCCTTATACTATGTCCGCAGTCTCTGGTCATCTCCTGTACTATGTCCGCAGTCTCTGGTCATCTCCTGTACTATGTCCGCAGTCTCTGTTCATCTCCTGTACTGTGTCCGCAGTCTCTGTTCATCACCTGTACTGTGTCCGCAGTCTCTGGTCATCTCCTGTACTGTGTCCGCAGTCTCTGGTCATCTCCTGTACTGTGTCCGCAGTCTCTGGTCATCCCCTATACTGTCCGCAGTCTCTGGTAATTTCCTGTACTATGTCCGCAGTCTCTGGTCATCTCCTGTACTATGTCCGCAGTCTCTGGTCATCTCCTGTACTGTGTCCGCAGTCTCTGGTCATCTCCTGTACTGTCCGCAGTCTCTGGTCATCTCCTGTACTGTGTCCGCAGTCTCTGGTCATCTCCTGTACTGTGTCTGCAGTCTCTGGTCATCTCCTGTACTGTGTCAGCAGTCTCTGGTCATCTCCTGTACTGTGTCCGCAGTCTCTGGTCATCTCCTGTACTGTGTCCGCAGTCTCTGGTCATCCCCTGTACTGTGTCCGCAGTCTCTGGTCATCTCCTGTACTGTGTCCGCAGTCTCTGGTCATCTCCTGTACTGTGTCCGCAGTCTCTGGTCATCTCCTGTACTGTGTCCGCAGTCTCTGGTCATCTCCTGTACTGTGTCCGCAGTCTCTGGTCATCCCCTGTACTGTGTCCGCAGTCTCTGGTCATCTCCTGTACTGTGTCCGCAGTCTCTGGTCATCCCCTATACTGTCCGCAGTCTCTCCTGTGGTCATTTCCTGTACTATGTCCGCAGTCTCTGGTCATCTCCTGTACTATGTCCGCAGTCTCTGGTCATCTCCTGTACTGTGTCCGCAGTCTCTGGTCATCTCCTGTACTGTCCGCAGTCTCTGGTCATCTCCTGTACTGTGTCCGCAGTCTCTGGTCATCTCCTGTACTGTGTCTGCAGTCTCTGGTCATCTCCCCCTACACTGTGTCAGCAGTCTCTGGTCATCTCCTGTACTGTGTCCGCAGTCTCTGGTCATCTCCTGTACTGTGTCCGCAGTCTCTGGTCATCCCCTGTACTGTGTCCGCAGTCTCTGGTCATCTCCTGTACTGTGTCCGCAGTCTCTGGTCATCCCCTGTACTGTGTCCGCAGTCTCTGGTCATCTCCTGTACTGTGTCCGCAGTCTCTGGTCATCTCTCCTGTACTGTGTCCGCAGTCTCTGGTCATCTCCTGTACTGTGTCCGCAGTCTCTGGTCATCCCCTGTACTGTGCCCGCAGTCCTGGTCATCTCCTGTACTGTGCCCGCAGTCTCTGGTCATCCCCTGTACTGTGTCCGCAGTCTCTGGCCATCTCCTGTACTGTGTCCGCAGTCTCTGGCCATCTCCTGTACTGTGTCCGCAGTCTCTGGCCATCTCCTGTACTGTATCCGCAGTCTCTGGCCATCTCCTGTACTGTGTCCGCAGTCTCTAGCCATCTCCTGTACTGTGTCCGCAGTCTCTGGTCATCCCCTTTACTGTGTCCGCAGTCTCTGCTCATCCCCTGTACTATGTCCGCAGTCTTTGGTCATCCCCTGTCCTATGTCCGCAGTCTCTGGTCATCCCCTGTACTGTGTGCGCAGTCTCTGGTCATCCCCTGTACTGTGTCTGCAGTCCATTGGTTCAGAATATTTTTTTTCTTGTTTTTCTCCTCTAAAACCTAGGTGCGTCTTATGGTCAGGTGCGTCTTATGGAGCGCAAAATACGGTATATACTGTATATATACACACTTGCATGTTGAAATGTGTTTTTATTACAAAATATATTAAATATATTTTTAAAAAAACATTTCAAATATACTACATGTCTTTAAAAATACAAATCTAAACTTTTGTAATGCATTTACAAATACATGTAAAAATATATGTTAAAATTACTTTTTTATATGTTAGAAAAAATCTGAAGAATATATTTAAAAAATATATATTTTTTAAAAAAAATATTCTTCAGTTTTTTTTTTTTTTATAAATATTTATTGATTTTCAATCAGATATAATTAACAAACATTTTCTTCATAAATTATCATTATATTCCTCATAATTTAACAAACAGGAACAGGGTAAGTGAGCGCAAAATCTCGAAACAGCGGCTAGCACACAAGGCAATCCTCAACACCAAAAAACAAAATATACAAATGGTATGCAGCGCTATATAATATATCAACCATCAATATAAAGATGGATAAGACAGTAAATCCTCAATCACAATATGAATAGTTCCATATAAATGAAGATATAAATGTACAAATGTGCTGAATAGATAGAAATCCAATTGGGCTTATGGACGAATCTGGTAAAAGATTGCGCTTACCACAAAGACATACAAACAGGGCGTTGTATGTATATAGATGGACATCCGGGTCTGATCAGCAAATAGGACAGCATCCGGTCACCATATGAAACTTCCAGGGATGGTGGAAACCCCCCAAGATCGTCTCCGATTTTGCCAGCAGGTCCAACGCAGTCCTCTCCAAATAATATTTCTCTGGATCGCTCCACCTTGATAGGGCTCGTAAATAACGAGCCAGGGCAAAAATGGCAATGGTAGTGAAGTATGTCTTTATTGTGTAAATAGCAGCAACAAATGTAAGGAACTCACAAATAGGAAAACACAGCCCAGGTCAAACGAAGAGGTTCCCTGGTGATCAGTGGCTCCCTGGTAATCAAATGGCGTCTGTTGGGTGGATCCCCCTAACATGTTTTGAGCCACGCTCGTTGTCAAAGGGGTGAATCCTATCCCAAGGACGCCAGCATTTAAAACATACCGCGGTCGCGCCTGCGCAGTAAGCACCTCACGCCCGCTCGAATCAACAGCGCATGCGCGGGTGACGTCACTCGTCAGACTCCGCCGAACCACATCGCGCATGCGTGGGCGCATGCGCGGGCACATCATGAGTCTCCCATACAAATACTTCCGCCACAAATATGTGGGCAAAGCTCCAAAGGGGAACCCACATAGCGCATGCGCAGGCGCATGTGCAAACGCCACAAAGTGACGAGAAATTAAAATCCCAAAATCCCCCCACCCTAATGGGCGGGCAGAAACGGATAAGAAGATAAACAAAGGAGAAAGCCCAGTTAACATAGTAACTGCAGCGCCCCAATGCTATCCTAAAAACCTGGTATATATGAGGAATCATATTTAATATGGATAACCAATATATATTATTCTTAAAGGGACTACAGATTTTAAACAAATAGATAGATTCTTAATCGTTATGTTGCAGTCCAAAGACACCCCATCAGACAAAAGCACAATGGGGTGTCCAATGACAGAACCCCCCAACAGGAGCCTATAACCTTAAATATATGTGACATCATAATATAATACATATCAATGTAACCATAATATAAAAAATGTTAAAAACATTAAAAAATGTCCATATTCATAATATGATCAAATTAAATGAACAAGACAGTTTAAACCGGCATAGCAGCCAGTCAAATGACCTACAACCCCGTGTGTTATCAATCAATAGGAATATATAGTAATCAATAGATAAAAATTAATGTATAAAGACATCCAATGCTATTCATAAATGGGCACATAAAAAATATTCCCCCGTATAGGGGAATATGTGGATTATTTTCTGCAGCCTTTGGTTTAAGACAACTCCTGCCTATTTACGGGACTCGAAGCAGGTATTAGTTGATTTAACCGACTTTAGCGTCAATGAGAAAACCTATTTGGTTACGGGCAGATGTATCTGCTCTCTATAGCAACATTAGGCATTGTGATGGTATGGAGGCAGCTCAATTCTATCTTAATACTGTACCGGATATCCCTCAACTACAAAAGGAGTTCATTTTGGAACTTCTGGATTTTTGCTATGCATAGAATTTCTTTTGGTTGACCATGTTTTTTATTTGCAAGTCATGGGTGTTGCTATGGGGCAAAGTTTGGGGGCCAATTTGTTTATGGCCAGGTGGGAGGAGGACGTAATATATTCTCGAGACTGGCCGCCCTGATTTTCTATAGGCTGTTACATTGATGATGTGTTCCTTTTATGGCAGGGGATGAGTCTTCACTTAAAAACTTTTTCATTTCTCTTAATAACAATAGTTTTGAATATTGAACTTGTCTTATGTTTACGATTTTAAAGAAATCAACTTTTTAGACTTGGTTTTGATTAATGATGGCAGTAGGATTTTAACTAAAACCTATTTTAAGAATACAGATAAAAATGGTATATACCTACAGACAGTTGCCATCATCCAGTATGGTTAAGGAATATCCCGAAGGGGCAATTTCTCAGGCTGAGGGAGAAACTGTACGAGTTTTAGACAATTATCAATCAACCAATCATGGGTACTCATAAAAATATTTACCGGAAAAAGGCTATGATCCCTGTTATTCTGGGATCGAACCATTCAGGAA